CATACTTATTGTAATTGAGAAAGTCATTAACATTTTAAGTCATTTGATGGATTTCAAGATGATTGATTACAACATCTTGGATTGTTTTTGTCTAATTTCTTTTTGTTTTGTTTTGCTTAGAGCTATGACTTTCATGTTCCCCAATAGGTTAATCTATTTTGTTCCTAGCTAGTAATATTCCCCAAGGTGCTATAAGCCTTGCGTTTTTTAAGGTCTGGTGTCAAAAACTAAAATAGGGCTTCTTTACACACGCTCACATTCTGTACAATGGCAGAATTCTATAGTAAGGATTTTATCTAAGGCTCTTAGATGAGGCATTATCTCTTAATCGTTGGAGCAAACTAATTGTTGAGGCCCAAAAATCCAAGGGGCTAAGCCCAGATCAATTCTTGGCCCAACACAGATAATTGAACACAAAAGAAGCTCAATCGGGCCAAAAGAGAGTTTGTAGGACGCACCAATACGAGCTACGGGCCATGTATCATGCCAAGAAAGCACGTGCAAAAGGGCCAAGAGCATGCCAACTTTACAAAATCACCCTCACATGCCCATTCGGTGTTACTTGACCCAATTATAGCCTATCACGGCATAATAAAACCCAAGCACAAGCATAAGTATCGTGCAAGAAGAGCCACTATTCTAACACCAAGCTATGCCACAAGCTTAAGTGGGCCCAAGTCACAAAATTACTTAGGGCTTACTGAGAAGGTTGTGGTATGGAAGGAGACAAGCAATCACATGACCCATTGAGGGTTGGGGAATGAAAGTTTTAAAGCCACTTGGGAGCATTAAAACTCAAGCTCATTTCTCAGACTCAAATACATGGGTTAGCATGAGAGAAAAGGGAAAAATGGTCCAATGTCTTGGGAAGACATTTAGTAGCCTGCATACTTAGATAAGCCCGCATCAAAAGAATGCCCAAAATTAATAAAGCCACTTCCAGCAGCTTGATGAAAAGCCTATCAAAAGCTGGAAATAACAAGTCAAATGACCCAAAACCGTGCATACAAGCCCATCCCAATAACTTATAAAAATTTGGCACCAAGTTCTACCTCTGTTAAAACTCCAAGAACGGTCAACAAAGGAGCCATGACAGAGACCAAAGGAAACCTATGAGGGTAGGATGAATACCCATCGGATGAAAGGCTCTACCTATCTTCTTTTCCATTACAAAGCTTCATTTTGAAAACCAAGAGGAAAAGCAGGTGGCGCCTCACCCTTATGGGGAGGTCCAGCTGCGTCAAATCCTTGGAACCACAAAGGGTTCCTTACCCATGCACCTTGGATAGAAGAATTTCACCAAAATAGGATTAAGTGGGGAGTAGCCAAAGGAAAAGGAAGAAGAAGACTAGATGAAATTAGGATTCTTCGTGCCTATAAAAGGGGGCCTCTTCTACCCAACGAAATCACCATTCACGGCCTGACCAAGCTTTGTCAAGCAACTGAGAATTTACTTAAGCCACCCAATCTTCTTCTTCCTTTGTTTTTCTTCTTCCTTTAAGGATAATGTACAGTTCGACAAAAAATAAAAGTCTCGTTTGGTTCATGGGAAAGGAGACTTGGGAATGAGAAATCAATTGTTTTCCCATTTTGGTAAGTCCAGGCATGAGAAATCGTTGCCTGGCTCATGGGAAAATATGGGGGAAACTGAAGCCATCCTCTCAACCAGGGGCGAAGCCACACTGGGACCAGTGTGGTCCCGGGCCCCCACTCAAGTTTTTATATATTTTAAAAGTAATATACTGTTATGTATTATTATATGTATATTATTTCAAATATTTTACGTTTTGATATGTACCCACATGCGTTGTGGTGGATCTATTAAGGCACAATGAGGTGCTTCAAATTGCCTATTTGCTCAGTTGGTGGTGGTGCACTCCAGGTGTACAGATTACCTTATTTCCATTTTCAGCATTTAAGTAAATATCTTTGTCCTTTTACTTTAATTTATTTTTATATTACTCCATTTACTTAAGTTTACA